CTGAAACAACTCCTCAAATCAGTTAAATTAAATTAGCGTACAATTGAGGATCGTCGCCCGTAGCGTTTATTGGCATACGATTTAGGCGTCACACTACAGTTACCTAACGCTTTTTTTTTACATTTAACGTTCGATCATGCGGTGTCGGACAATTTAAATAAGCGCGATAAATTATTCGGCGTCAAGAGGAAACACCTCACGTGTCTTGCGAAAACGGTCACGAATAAGAAGTGCTGATTTATCGATTCGTCATATTTCAAACAGTGTTTTACCGAGGAAAAAACCACGAGCCGTGGACAAATTGCAATCCTTATTTGGTGGTAATCGCGAATTTGCAGATATTTGTACCTAATTGAGTAAGCATCCCGATCTCTACCAAATACTGCTTTCGTAGATCTTGCAATTCATTTTTTTGCTTTAGATCACATACGGTTTCATCCCCGATGAAATTGCAGGAAAATTTTCGTACTTTCTCGTAAGGAGAAATAAAAAATAGCATCTCTGTAGTTTAGAAATTGGATCATATTTCGAACCGAATCGCCATAGTCAGCTATTGTAGAAATTAACTTATTTAGTGTGGTTTAGTTTAGGTGTTCCTGAAATCACTTATTTCATATGCAAAAAAATGCTGTTTCTTTGTTTTTACTCATAAATAAAAATAAGAAATTAAGGAAATTTTATACACAGCCAAACAAAAATTTATATTGTACCCCTTGCACTCTGCGCACATGTGCGTCCTAACATATCGATTGTCACTTTTTTTACTGTTTTTTCCAAACTTCAAAACAGTTACAATTAATTGAGATTTACTTAAAAAAACAATTAATAATACAATTCTAGTAGGTATATCCTGACAATAACTGGTTATATTGAGATAATAGAGAGAATTTTAATCCCTGCTTCTTAAGTTCCTTTTCACTTTATTGCACATCTCCTTTGGTTCCCTATTAATCATCATCTGTGGTACACTGGATAGATACTTCTAAAAATCCGGTCGTCTTGTCCTTTTCTAATTCTTCCAAAAATTTTTTATTTATTAAACACGGAAGACGACACACACAGTTGACTTAGTTTGGGGCTTCCCTGCGTTGTATATTATAAATTATGACCGCTTTAAAAACAGACTCGCCAAAGAGCAAGCTTCGCTAACCAAAGCTTAAGTTCGGGTAAGTTGTGGTCCAAGAAATTGACATATTATTTGCTCACAAATACACATTTTCCGTGTTTTACTTTTTGGTGCAAAGCCGCTGGAAAAAAAAACTTCTTCCTGGTAAAGTTTAGCAATTGTGCCCCAGATAAAAATACAAAAAAAATCCTTTATTTTATTTTTAATTGCTATTTTTATATAGCAAAATATATCAAAACTAAACTTATTTATTTGCTCTCTCTATTATGTTACAAGATGTGTGGTAGCTAGCTTAAGAATTTTAAAAAATCTTGTGTAATATGGAATATTTATTTAGCTTCTTTAGTTTTGTGTTTGTGGTTGTTTAGGTGTTTAAATGGAATGCCTATGCTCAAATGTTACTGTTTTACATAATTCCTATCAACTTTTCCTACAAAAAAAAGCTCTAGCGTAAGGAGATCTTTGAAAATGACGAGAACGATAAGAAAACTTCAGTTCAAAATTCAGTTGGCCAATATTATTAGTGTTATCGAAATGATACTAGTTGCGTTATAAAATTCTAGATTTTCAACCTAATAAAATGCTAATTACCTTCGATCGAGAGGCACTAATTGAATGTAATGGCAACCACAAACACAATAATTTTTCGATAAATATGACAACGCTGCGTTAATTAAACAAAGCAAATTGTAAACTCAAAAAGCACTTAATACATCTGCGATTACTGCTTATGATAAATCAATTTACCATACGTTTTTTCCACTTTTATATACAGGGTATTCATTAATTATATAGTATGATTCTCAGGAATGATTCTTTGGTTAATTTTAAGACAAACAGCTTACATAGACGTTGGTTTTTGTTAAGGAATTGTTTTGTCTGACTAATTTTGGATATTTGGATTCAAAATTTTGTAAGATGTAAATTAATCCCAAAAAAATATATAACGTTATAAAAAACGAAAGCAAAAACGAAGTTTTTTCCAATTTAATTAACACACATTTACTATTAAGCTACATAATTAATTAAAACGCTATATTGTGATAAAAACCAGCAACTTTTTGCGAAATCTAAATTTTCGTCCAACTGCTTGCGGACGTTTTATCACCTAGTGTGACATTTATAAAATGTAATACTAGAAACTAAAAAAATCGCGTGGTATTTATGTAACCAGTTGCGAAAAGTTTCATTTTGTGTAACGAGTGGATTCTGCAAAAGGACACATTCGACAAAATAGTCTTGTGCAACGCACTGCTACTGCTACTTGCATTGATAATATAATAACAAATTTGAATGAAGACGTTTATGAGGTTGGAGTTCTTGACCCTGGCATGTCAGACCACATAGCATAGGTAGGGCGGATAGAGTCAGAACTAAAAAAACTAGAACTATTGCCAAATCAGGTATTGTGAATATTAGGAAGTCCTTGGAGGCTGTGGATTGGAATATTTGCCTTGGTTCTAACGATGTCAACTTTATGTCTTCATTTATATTGGACAAAGTTCAAGACTTGAGCAAACAAAATTTTTCTGTTAAAAACGTTCCTCATAAAAAATCACCGGTCAACTGGTTTGATAAAGATCTTGTAGCTCTTAGAAACAGAGTGTCAGCTGTTAAAACTCTCAGTAAAGTCTCACAGAACCCTCTATATACAGAAGTGTATAAATCACTAAATAAGGAATATAAACAAAAAATTCAACAAACCAAAAAAGCTGCCTTTGATGGATTTATCGAAAAATCAACCAATAAAAACAGAGATGTCTGGAAAATCGTTAACTATGAAAGAAACTGTCTTGGGAGATGTGATAAAGAATCTGATTTATCAGCAAACGATCTTAACAGCTTTTTAGTTCTGTCTCGAGTAATATTATAAAGATCTTAACGGTGTATCACAATGTACAGAGTGCATGTGTTGAAGGGATTCCACTGGAGGAAACTACTTTTTTTTTGCATCCGATAACTTGTGAGGATACGTACCGAGCCATACTAAGATTAAAAAAATCTTATTCTAGCGATGCTTATGATATCAATAGTGTCTTGGTGAAGGGACTGGTTGAGTACATTACACTGCCATCAACCACTTTATTTAATAAATGTATTGACACAGGTGTATTTCCGTCGCTGTTTAGGATTTGGAGAGTAGTTCCAATCCATAAGACAGGCCGATTTCAATCGTGCCTTTGTTCGGAAAAATTTTTGAGATCTTACTAAAAGATCAGCTAACTTCTTATATTAATAAGATCGAATGTCTTTGTGCTGGTCAGTTTGGATTTAGGGGAGGGTGTTCGACGATCCAAGCAGTGTCTAAAGTTGTGAGTGGGATAGTTGAGGGCCTCAAGGGGGGTGAATTAGTTGGTTTGACCTTGTGTGATCTCTCCAGGGCCTTTGACTGTGCTTCTCACCAGCTTCTTATTAAAAAGCTATATAGATATGGTATACGAGGTCTGCCCTTAGATCTTATAGCGTCCTACTTGCAGGGCCGACAGCAGTTTGTAGAATACCAGGATGACCGTTCATCACTTGAATCAGTAGTAAGCGGCGTGCCCCAGAGTTTCGTCCTGAGCCCGCTACTATTTACAATCTACATAAATGACCTTTATCATTTCTTGGCCCCCAATCACTGCGTGATGTTTGCCGACGATACATCCTTCACTACATCTTCTAAGAGTGTCGAGGAGTTGTCCGTTAGGGTTGGCATGTTGGAGGACAGGGCTAATGTGTGGTTCGAAAATAATTACCTTAAATTAAATTTAGACAAGACCCAGAGTATTGTTTTTTCCTCCAATTGCTTGGTAAATAGTGGACAGTCCGTCAAGTTGCTTGGCATTAGGATCGATGATAGTCTAAATTGGAAACAACATATCTCAGACCCGAAAAATAGATTGTCCAGCAACATATTCGTTCTTCGACGACTGGGAGGCCTGATAGGAACAAGGACTCTGCTTATGGTCTATTTTTCTTTGTTGCATTCACACTTATGCTATGGCATGGTGCTGTGGGGTGATTCCTTAGCTGCTGTGGAGATTTTTAGACTGCAGAAAAGGGCCATTCGAGTCGTTGCTAATATAGCAAACAATATAAAAACTTTAAAGTGATATGCCCCTTCCTTGCATCTGTATCTACTACCAGTTATTAGAGATACAAAGAACGAAGGAAAACTTTAGCGCTAATTCGGATTGCCATGCCTATCCAACTCGTTCGGTGGATCTCCTTAGACGGCCTAGGTTTAGACTGAGGAAGTCTGAGAGCAACTCGTTGAACCTGGAATTGTATAATGTTTTGCCAGGTACCGTGAAAAAGATGAACAATAGAAAACTTAAACATACTATTAAGGAATTCCTACAACGTCATTGTTTTTACTCCCTGCGAGCATACATTGACACTGTCACTGGTATCGATGCGCTATAAAACTGTATAGTACTGTATAATTTTGTTTGTATTAGATGTGTGTTGCTATGTTATTTTTTAATGTGATTTTATTACACTTGGATATAACTTCTCACTTGCTACAATTGTACGTTCCTTTTGTACGAAAAATAGTCAATAAATGAATCTATCTATCTATCTATACAATTTTTTTCTAATTTACGTTCAATTTTTGAAAATTCTGATCATTTTCATATAAGGAAAATTTTTAAAATTTGGTATAGCAATTTTTTCAGTTCGTGGTTATTTTGACAGATGTTGAAAAATGTCACTTTATATGGTAGAAAATTAGCAAAAGTAATAAATATAAAACAAAAAATACCCAGTTACATGCTGATCAACAATGTTAATCCTTGACATTTATCAAACTTGTTGCACCATATACAATATATACTAAAAAATTAAAAAGAAGAAATAATTAAAGGCATGTATCAATAATAGACACAGATACTTCCACATTATTTATTCCGATACATATGGTCGATGGTATTTATACATATGGCAGTGGAACACTTATTCTAGCTAGATATAGATCATAGTGACTATTCGGCAGATTTCTTGACATTTTCGCCCCTAACAGATATGACTAGAAATATTTTTGTATTAGGCACCCTGTAAAAATGTCAAGAAAACTGAATCGGGTGAATGCGACATAAAACCAAAACATTTTGTTTATTTAAATTTAATCGATATTCACATTAAATATTTTTAACGTTTGTTTACTGGCTAAATCGCAACTATCGTTAAAAAACTGTACTATCTGTCTGTACAAGGTACTTAATAACTCAATACTCAATAAGAGTAAAAGTGTTCAGAAGTTCAGCAATTTTTTTCCATTGTATTTTTAAAAATATTTCTTATTTTTATTTTAAATATTTGGTAACTATATTATCCCACCTTGGCCGATCACTTATGAGTTTTATTTACAAAGTTCTTAACACTAATTTCATTAATTTATCTATGTCGGATCTTTCTTAGACACGGTTACTAACATTTTAGTTTTTATATAGGGGTGTTTCCCAACCGCGTTCACTTAAGAAGGTTGTTTCGGTAAAGACGAGAAGAAAACTTCATATAAATATGGGCACCGAAATTTTGTGGTTTTAAAATACAAGGTGCTGAAGTTTAGAAGATTTTTTAATTTTTTTTCATTTTTATGATTTTAAGTCCTTTCTTTAGAAATCTATCTCTTTTAATTTGATTGCAATTTAATTGGTAATTATCACGCTACGGACGTAGCTTACCAAATTTTTAAAATATATGTTTTTTCTGCACTTTTTCTGAACTTTGATTCTTCTCTTTACTCAAAATCAATATCGGAACGTAATTGGAGACCACCCTGTATAATGTAAATAGGTACGACAGTTTCAATTTCATATACTCTCCAAAACATAATAGTCGTGTTCGTTCATTCCAACAACAATAACATTTTAAAACTCTTCCTGCAGTCAAAATTAAATTACAATTTCTGTAAAAAACACTTACGTGAACATTGCTGTGTAGAAAAAATATAAAATATTTAGCTTGAAAAAAAAAATTATTGCTATATAGATCTATATGGTGTATTAATTTAATGGCAAGCAGCAAGCGAATATAAGGTTAGGTACAAAAACGCTTTATTTGGAAAACTTTAATTTTCCGATTACGACTTGCCAATTTGAGTACCGTAAAACCATAAACTCGTTAAATCAATTTGGGCTGTCTCACACCATTCGTTTATTCACAATAAAGTGCTGTGGTTACATCTCTTCATACGAAACGTGACTAATATGTGTATGTAGAATCAACGAAAGAAAAGTTGGGTTTGAGTGACACTGAGAATAAACACGACATTCATCAGTTCGTACCAAAAAATCAAAAGGAGTTCTGAAATAAGGTTTTAATTAATCAGTTTGTCGTATTTCATTCACCAAACTGGAGCGATATAAAAGTTAAACAGATAGATACTGGGATATAAATATTTGGGCGTCATCCGCCAAATTCTAAAAAGATTTGTTTTTTAATTTTATTCACTAAAATATAGTGCCGCAAAAAATGACCCGCGCCCTATTATTCAGTAATTTCTACCCCAAAATTCGCCATAATGTGAACACACAAGTTTCAATATGATTTAACTATTGCCGTTCAGTGAATACAACTGCCCACATTTATATTAATTCATCGATCCAAAAAGTAATTGTGATAGTGCAAAAATATTATCCCTAGTTTTCACGTAAAACGACCGTGCAAAATTTAGTATGACGAACAAAATCAATTCACCTAATTTATTAAATTTATCTATTCTTGTTTGAACCCGTTGACGGTCGGTTCGCTTTGTTGCTGTTCTCTCCTTTGCAATTGGAAAAAGACGACCAGTCTTCCGCTTAGCATGAAGAGGAAAACCAACGCGGGTGCCGTACGCTCCAGCTTGTCCGCTACCATGTAGTGCGAGTAGACCGCCATTAGCGTTAAAACCAGCAGACAGAGGTTCGCGGCGTTTTTAATCTTGTCTAAAAACATTAACATTATTTACATTTCAAATTTAAAACGTTACTATACACGTTTTGATTTTGTTTGCTCTATTACTTCGGAATCCTATATGACACATACAGGGTGTCTCAATTCGGTTAGTTTTCAATAAAAAAACTAAGATAAACATAAAAAATGTTATTACTAGGCATTAGCATTATATTTTGTAAATTAGCGAACACTAGATGTTTCATTTGTAAAAGACACTTTATACATTGGCGAAAAAAAAGTAATTTATAGCCACTTATTCACCACTTATCTGGTGTAAGTAGTGAAGTTTTAATTAACTAATTGGACTAAGAATACTGGATATGAAAAGTGTTACCCTGATCTATCGACTAACTTGCGTCGTAAATGAACACAAAAATGATTTTAAAAAATGCCCAAAACTTTCATATTGCCGCCTTTTGATCATGGCGTACACGCGTGAGCTGTGCGTACTATTCAAAAAATGATAACAACCCGAGAAGTGGAACTGTTGAGTATGTGACCAACAATACTCGTTTTTTTTGTAAGCGAATCGTAATGGTATAAAGAAATTATGTTTGTTCTGCATTTTGTATGTCGGTCTCGCTCTAAATAGATGTTTTTATACGTATAAACTATTATTGTTGTAAATTGTAAAACAGTTGCTCCACAGACCTTGTCCAACAAGTATTTAAAAGTATTTTAAAGAAATGCCTTACAGAACTCATTTTTATAAAATGAAATTTTAAATATAGATTTTTTTAAAAGAAAATGTTATTTTCAGAAATCGGAATTGTCGCGAAAAAATATGTTTGATATCCAACGATCGAATTGCTCTTTGGTAACCACACGCATACACGGACCACAGTCGGTGTTCGATGACGTAATAAAATAAGGTTAATAGTGACGCGTGTTTTATATTAATCCGCAACCTATAAAACAGTAAATATAAAGCAGCAATCTGATCATTCAGAACACGATTTAACGACTCAAACTTACAAAGCGTTGAGCCTTTTTAGGTTATCGGCATGTATTTCCGAAAATGTTCAACTACCCCCACCTCTTTTCCTTCAGAGATGGAACAGAGCATTAAACAAAACTGAGACACCCGGTATATTGGCACCGTAGAAACCTACTAGCTGGAAAAATGAGTCTTCGTTTTTGAAATTTTCTAAAAACATTTTTGAATTAACCGAGGGTAAATTGAATAAATCTAGTAAAACTGTCACATATCAGGCTGTTATAATATTTTTAACGAGGTTTTTTTACCTGTGTGGCCATATTTTGAAAAAATAGTAGATACCAAAAAAATGTCACAGTAAGAAAAAAAGCCGGTAGAGCTGTTAAACGCGACGTTTGAAGGGGAATTTTTTTAATCATGGATTCGTTAAGTACATGTGGTCTCAGAGGTCTCAGAATAGGGAAGCTATATGTTACTTATTATTAACTTAATTGTTTTATTATTACCATCTGCGACATTCTTTCGAAATTATTATAAAGCAATAATATTTCCTGTCAAGGCTTTTATTTTGGTTCCAATCATATTTATTGGAAACAATAAATAGCATTTTTTTAAAATATTTTCGTTCCAATCGTATTTATTAGATAAGTGCACGATCTCTTTGTTTTTAAATTTTTGGAAACGATAAATATCATTTTTTATAAATGCAGCCCACCCTTATAATTTGTAAATGAAAGTATACTTAATAGACGTAACCGCGCACGGTAGACATTTTATTATTACACAGGATTATCTGGCGGTTTATTTTTAACCGTAACATTGACAATGTAGGTTGCGGTCGGCAGTTTTTGGAAATATATAAACCTAAAATTATCGCATTGCTCACCGCCGTTCCCGAAAATAAATTGAATTTATCTACGTAACTAATGTAGGGAGCTGGTGCATCTGCGACAGCATAAATCTCAATCTAAATATATGCCGTTTAATTTTTTTCTTGCTCAGATTAAAGTCCATATTAATATAGTATTCGTTTCGATTTCGAATTTATGTATTTTCTTTTTTTTGTTCAAAATTTAAATGCTTCAGGTACTCACGTTTTGGTATGAACGCCATTGCTATTCCGCAAACTATTTCTAACACTCCCACCGTTCTCCGATACCATTTTGACGGCACTTTGAAATTTAAGGCTTCGGATAGAGGAAACACTTTTGCGTACTTCACATATTCCTTCCGCTGTAACAAAATAATAAGTTAAAATTTAAGGTTCCCTATCTTGTTAAAAGAGGCGACCACAAAATTTAACACCTAGTTGAAAATGTCAGAGATAATTTAATATTGGTTGATTTTGGGACCACAATAATAGTGTTGCCGCTCAATTTAACTGTAAGTTAGAGCTATTATTATGGAACAAGTACCAATAAGGTTATATTACTGACCAAAACGATCATAAATTTGAAAGCGAGTTTCAAAATGATGTTCACCGGCTTTCTTTGCCAACTTAAATCGTGAAAATAAAACTTGAAAATGTGTTTTTTTACATTTAGATTAGGTTATTGAGTTATGTTGGCAATAAAAAAAATAGACCTAGAACCAAATAGAACATCGCGATGCATGCCCGCGAAAATATTCACGATATCCTGGGCAGGCAAAAAGCCAAACGATCAAATTCAATCCACACGACACGGCAAATATGTTCGTCAGCAGGACTCACCAAATCTTTATGTAAATCCTTGGAAACCACACTGGAAATTTTAATTAATCCTACGAAAATGAAGAAGAGCCCCAGGAGCACCGACAGTGATCGTAAGACTATCGACGACCCCATAACAATTATAACAACGATTTATACAATTAAAAGTACTTTTATATTTCGCGGTATAAAATCGACACGTATCGTTTGTTTGATTATCTATTAATTCAACGCATATTTGTTTATTTACGGTCTATTTTCGTTTTCGATTTTTTGGACCACGTATTTTCATTTTGGATTCGACGCGCGTCTATTTTGCGCCGATCAATACGACGCGGCGCCAACGATTTTTGTAAGTTCGCAACGTGTATTATCCGACCCGAAAATGTCAGATGGAAAAGCACGTTCCTGAAATTTCGACGTTTATCGAATTTTGATTGCGGAAATGATAGAAAGTTACTCGGTGAAAGATATTTGAATTTTGTTAATTTCCCTCCACCTTACCAGATTTTAGATCTGTCATTCCATCGAAGGCGTGCTTCTTGCCTTTGAACGCATTTGAAGACAAACGGCTTTTATTTGCTGGAGATGATAAATTTTAAGGATAATTGATGGAATAGGATTTAATTAGCTATTATTAATAAAGTTTGGCATGTGCAGTTGGTTGCGTACGCCGTAAATTCCAATTCTTCTTCTTTTTATCTAGCTACGAACATTTAATATACTTTAAAAATACTAAATAAAAATATATAATTTTTAAAAATCTGTACGTCTTTTTTACTTCTTTCTTTCCTCTACGAAATTGCTAAAGGTTCAGTTGGGCAAATGAATTAAGGCCATTTGACCAAGGTATATATTTTGGTTAGTAAAGACAGCTTATGAAACTGTTTTCAAAATTTTCCTTGGGGATTGTTTGTATTGACAAAAACAAGCATGTGTATGGATCCGAGATTGGAAAAGTAACAACAAAACTTTAATTAATAACTCTCAAGGAAAATAAAAATGTGCAATAATGAAAATCAAGAAAAATGCATTGTTAAACGTGTTCGTCTCTTTAGTTTTAATTGTGATACTTTATTTTGGATGTTTGTATTTGACTGTTAAGTCAACACCTACTCCGTTAACAAATGTTCAGTTTAAAAAACTGGAGGATATTTTGCCCAGGGACTGCAACATATGGTTGATATTTACGAAGGTGACAAATAAATCATCTTTGAATATAAAATTCGGAGAACTTTTGCAAAACCTTCTCAATACTTCCTCAATTCCGCTCAAATTCCATATCATAGTAGATGAAAAATCTAAAAATATCGCAAGTAACAAGTTATCAGAAGTTGTTTATAAAACTAACCGCTCAATTACTTATAGTTTCTATGATTTTGATGAGTGTGCCTCCAAAATTGGAGATATTGTTAGTACTATGACTCCCTTCTTTAGCTCTAAGCCGGGTATGTTATTAGAAACTTACTACTTACGAAAGTTTGTTGCTTATATAAGATGTTTTAGGAACCTATTATAGTGATGCCTTATTTTATATATCGCTAGGCTTATACAGAATTGCACCAGTGACTCAAGATACTGCAATTCTCTTGGACTGTGATCTTTACTTTAAAAAAGATATAGCATTACTTTTTGAAGAATTTAAAAGGTTTCTTGTGCCATAGGTAATATTGTTGTGAAGTAAAGTTTGTCCTTTCAGATTTAAACCAACAGCTTTATTTGGTTTAGCTCCAGAGTTGACTCCAGTGTATCGCCACATTCTTCACATGTACAAGCTGAAGCATAGAACAACATTCGGCGAATTTTATCATGATAGCATTATATCTTCAAAAGAAGCACATCCAAAAGGATTTCAGGGTTACAACTCAGGTGTGGTTTTAGTTAAACTTAAAGAACTGAGGCAATCTAAAGAATTCTCAAAATTAATTGCCAAGAGTAAGATAAGAAATTTGACTGAAAGCTATAGGTTTAGGGGACATTTAGGGGACCAAGATTTTTACACTCTTATAGGATATGAATACCCACATTTAATTCAGACTCTGAATTGCGGCTTTAATCGACAACTCTGTACTTGGTGGCGAGATCATGGTTATCATGAAATATTTGACCATTATTTTAAATGTGAACATCCTACTGTGGTGTTACATGGAAATTGTAACACGAAAATTCCGAAAGAAATAACTTTTTAGGCATTAGTTTTCTTTTGATGTTTATATTTAGTATTTCTAGTTTGTTCCTTCTCTGTGATTATTTATGGGCTATAAAAAGAAAATGACCCTATCAATCTAAACTTATTTTTTATTGTTTTATTGTCTTGGGCGAACTCAACTGATCTGGTATTTTTTCTTGGAAGGTAAACAGATTTTAACCATATTATGTTGTTGATTGTTAAGTTTATGTTCATATCATTCTGCATGTAATTTCGTGTTGGCTCCCTATTTCATTACAGCATATGTATATTAAACTGTAATTCCTATAAATCCTTGCCATACTTTGCCATATTGAAACCAAGAGGCTTGTAAAAGGTATTAAAATATCTCTTTTATATTTTATATTATTTATGTATTTCATATATATATATTTTTTCATGTGGTTGTGGATGTTTTTTGCGGTAATAGTTACTCTATAGATTTAAAAAAGTGCAATAACTGCAACTGTTTCATATACCTTTTTATTAATTTGAATTTAAATGTAATTTTGTATATTTTTATATTGTTATATAATTATTTGTTCATGATTTTTAAAATAAAACCACTTTTTTGGTTGTTTTAAGCAAGAGAAGTTGAATTAATGTAAGAATGGTCTGTGCGTTCCAGAAACCCGTTTTGCCAGAGGACCGAACAAGCAAAATGTTTCTAGGGAATTTTTCTACGTTCACACCATATAGTAACTAGCAGCTAGATAGAATCCCACGCCTTTTTATAATACAGGAATTTCTAAAGCCCACACATAAATTTTACGGATGTGACTAACCAACATGGCCGTTGACAGTCCGTCATCTCCACCGTTGCAGTTTTCAGTTTTGATGTGAGGGTATTTTTACGAAAACAATTCCGCTTAATGTTCGGGGAAATTTTAAATTAGTTATAAAACGGTTGCGCATATGTGTATTTAATCATTTGAAGTTGTTCAACATCGTAAAATCTATATCATTATAAAACGAAAATATGAAAATGGAGTAAGGTAAGTTTAATCTATATTGAATAAGTTAAAAATTGTAGTTGGATTTTAAGTTATAGTTTGTATGCCTGTCTCATCATCAAATCGAAGTAACAGTCGTTGTCTATCGACGCGCTAACTCCCGTGTAGTAATTAATAAACTCTTCTTTTGTGACCTAAAATCAAAGATTGGAACTTATACGTGAAGGCTCAGAGCATCGTGACAGCAGTTTTAAATATTAATACCCGTATCCACCAATGTAAATGATCAGCTGTCATCAATTATTATTTAACAAGTAGTTAAGCAGCTATATTTATTCCCAACGGAATTTTACTCATAAGCGATTAGTTAACTGACGAATTTTGGCCAGTTGAGTTGATTTGTAGTGGTGGCGGTTTGCTTTAAACAAGCAGAAAAACACGAATTGCGATTTGATTAAATGGACGTAATGGAAAATAATTTCTTAGGACACAATGGAAAAGACCAACTTACTTTGAAGAAGTGAAAATTGAAGGCTTCTATTAAAAGAGAAAAAACGTTATTTCCCTGACAAATGTTTGGATTTCATTCGCTCTCTAACTCAGGACCAGGCTATAACTTGTAATTTTTGTGTTTTAACTTTTCACGTTCCAAACATAATACCTATATGTTCTTGACAATTTGCTTGTATGGAAAAAAACAATGTTTTACAGGTCAACCGGGACTAACTGCTTTTTACTTTTTATAAAAATTGTGTTCTTATTTTTTTCGCAAAAACAATAGGGAACAAGTGACACCAAATTTTACTTTTGACATTTTTCATGAGAAATATGTTTCAAAATTACGTAGAAATGCATCATCATTTTTAGATCTGCTACTATACCACAGATGGCGCATAAAAAATTATGCGATCTCGCCAGCTCCACAAAAATAACCATTGATTTTTAAACTCTTTGTTAAAATGTCAGTAAGCGCTAATCAACAGTTTCTTAACAGATGATGGTAGATACGGGCATAAGTATAAGTGTAGGTTATCTGGTAAATTCATCATCTCTGTCTGTGCCACAAACATTTCACAAAATGCACAGGGATCTTTCCATAGTAATTGTTTTGGTTGTTCATATCTTTTGTCAATGATCGTAATAATTTTTACAAATTTTAAAATTATTACAATTTTTCGAAAATTAACCTTTACTTTCAACGTTATTAACAGAAACAGATTGTATTAAAACACACACTTTCTGAACAAACCATTAAACAACCGTGTATGCTGTTTAGTAGCACCACATTTGACATTTGATAGCATTATAGGGTTCCTACTAAATCTTTAATTTTAAATTTACTGTCCTATACAGGTTTTCCAAATTCGAGAGAAGGGTGTTATCTACCATTGGACCATATAGTTACCTTTCCATCTCTGGTGGCGTCCTGTTCAAAATTGCCTAAAAATTTTTTCATAATGCCCTCTTCTGTTTCTTCTCCGGAAATGTAAAGCGGGTGAGACTTGACATTATACACGTTCTTCATGTCCTCAATGGTTATTTCGCCGTCGCCAGTTTTATCCATTTTATTGAACGCTTCGTTGATAACCTTGAGTCTACTTTCAGATAAAGGTGGCTGAAACATTATTTCGTTGCCGCAATCGTACAGCACGGTCGCAAATTAATTTTTTACCCGAACGTGGACCAAAAATTCATCCAAATTTACACTTCCATTTTTGTCAGTGTCGAACTGCTCGAACATTTCGTCCAGTTCTTGATCCGTGATTTCCAATCCGATTTCTCTTAATCCCCTTTCGAATTCCTCCTTATTTAGCTTTTTGTTGCCGTCCTCATCCATAATTCGAAATAATCTTCCTTAAAATTATACATTTATTTAGGGGACAAGAATTTTATATCTCGGTAAATGTTGGTCATAGTTGTACAGAAATAATCAGCATCGAAAAAAAATAATTGAAATTATAATAATAAATGTTATTAAAAAAAAAAGTACGTACGTAAGTACGTATTATATATATACTTCTAAATACAGTTATAATAAGACCAAAAATATTGTGCATTTATTGCTTTGACGTATTTTCGAATAAGTAGAAGCGTTTACTTTAACATCAGGTGATAGGTATCGTTCTTAAGTGTTTAATCTAAATTGCAATATGTTCGTATATATTACGGAGGTATTTGATTGTGATTACATCGTGATCAGCAGGAATTTTTTGAAAAAAATTAATTAATAAAATGATATTAATACATTTTAAATGGCTACGAGAGAGAAAGTAATTTTAAACAGAAACTAGAAACGATAAAAGAAAGATAGCAGTGAAGAAAATGGAGAACAAGTAAAAATGGTTCTTCATCTAATTGTGCAGACTAAATACATTGCTTACCAAGACCTAAGATCCCATGCGCACCTCTGGAAAGGCACAAAAGCCTAAGCCTCTGAACAGGATCTACCGAATTTCCCGTAGCCTGTAGTTCTCGTAAGCTTTTAGCAACCATTTCCGCTTCTTGTCGCGACGTCGCGCTCTGAGGACGTAACGGCATTCTGTGACGAACCAATTACAAATTAGACTGCAAATACATTCAAACGCACTACACGCAACGTTTTAAATTTAGTAGGGAAATAAGGCACATTTTTATGTACCGAGTAAGTATAGCAAAAACTGGAGCGTTTCTAAAAAAATATTGCCCGTTCCCACACTAAAGAGTGCGAAACAAAGAGAAATCTAAAAAATACAGAAAGAGTAGTTTTTGTTACGCATTAGTTGTCCTTTTTTATTAGAATATCTTTCATATAGCAACAATAAAAAATGCTTAACCGTTCCTATAAAGGATGTTGCTTAATACTGTGTCAATACTGAAGAGGATAATTCTACAGCTCGTTTTAGAAAAAAAATCTTCTTGTAGACGTATGTCCTAAAGTTTTGATGTACAACATACGCGTTCGTATAATTAACCATATTGATGGTAAGTATGAGACCCACAATACCAACTATATGTATGTTATGCATGTTTTATGTCGGTCTCGCTCTAAATAATTGCTTGTACATATAAGCTATCATCGTTCGAGATGGCAATACATATTTTTGAATAATAAACCATTTGCTCCACAGACCTCATTAAAGGATTATTTTATAATTGACCAAATAAAAAATTAAGTTACTAATATGTAAATTATAATTTATTGGTATCTTCAAAAATTGTTAGTCACTGTTTCGAAATGTATAACACTTTTAATCCAATTATGTGCATCTGACAAGAAAAACGAAAGAGGTGATTTTTATGCAGAAATGACTGGACCAGACTATTCACCAAAAAAATATTAGTGGCGTATTTTCTTTTCTTGCGCAATACAAATCGTGGAAGAACTCCACTGGTAGAAATAAGGAAGGTTTTGTGTACCTTGATGCACAAAATCCATTATCAAAATCTCATCCGAATTTCTAAAAATTTAAGACCATTAGGAAATATGTTCATAACAAAATGTTTTCTTAAAATGCATAAAAGAAAAAGAAGAAAGGAAAACTGTATTCCATTGCATACTTCAAAATAAATAAGAACTAAAAGTTGAGATTTTCACGAAATTATATTTTCGTGAAAATCTGAACTTTTAATTCTTATTTATTTTGATAAATGGATTTTCATCAAGTAAAAGCCACCTCAGTTCAATTATTGCATACTTTTTTTTACTATCGTATTAAATTTAACATATTCACAATAAAACAATGAAACGTTAATTTAAGAACTCTAAGTACTTGGGACGAAAGATTTTTTTGAACTTGTCACTGTCAGATCATACTTATAATCACTTACCTATATAAAATGGGGATAGTTTGTAACTTAGTTTGCTTCTTAACGACAGTAAAAGCAAACTATAATAAACAAGCCAACTTTCGGAAGATCTTTTTATGTTTGTTTCGCACAGCTTAACACGAACAATAACTGTGATAATTTCGAAGGTAGGTCGATGACTAACCGGTAAATTTTTCAACCAAGGCAATTTTGCTGCTCCGATCCACTTTACCAGAGCGTGTAAACATTTTTATTGAGGATGGTTTGTTGCCGCAGAAATTGTCATCGTACACATTCGAATAAATCGATAGTTACGCTTTTATACGATATTAATACGAAACGTAGATAAGCCAAACAACAAACTAACGCAACCCATGTTTAATAAACGATCCTTTTCATACTATTTAAAGAAAAAGTACATTATTTAAATTTATTGGTGTCTTTACACTTCCGACTGTTTTTTAATTTGTCTATAGAGTGTATTTTTTGATTTGAAATTGATAAGCTTTCTCCGGCTCAATCTCCTTTAGAAATGCAAGTTTTTGTTTAATAATATCCAATTTGTATTTGTTATCAAAACTTAGTCGCCGTATTTATATTAGGTAGAAAACTTCCTAGATCAAATCATTGATTAGTCGAAGTTTCGAACATTAGACTATCTTCAGGGCAGGCTGTAAAATATAATAAACTGCGAATTAATTATATTTTTTTATTTATTTTAATTATTCAATTAAAAGTATAAAGTTTATTGGGCCACCTCTATTTTTTTTGTTAAAAAACACTGTACTCCCTAGGATGGGTAAATAAAACGATTTTTTTGTGCAACTGACAAAAAACTGAGTTTAGTCTCATATATAATTAATCGTATCTTATCACCAATGTGGTATTCAAATGATGAACTATCCCTTTTATCTCTACTTGATACTGTTCCACTCGGATAAAAAAGAAAGTTTCAATTTCAATACTTGTTGCAATCTGTCAAAGAACATCGAGAACTATTTCCTCACTAATAAAAATCGATTTGTATAACTAAATCTTTAAAAAATATATGTTTTTTTATTAATAGTATTAAAAATTCATATAGTTGAACATAATTCTTTTTCAATTAATGCATTTACTGATATTTTTTGAATAAAGGACTTGATTTTCTGAATTATATAATAAATAATTGCAAAATTTACTTATTCCATAAATAAATTGAGAATATTTATTAAAAACTATGAATAATAATAATAATTGAAAACATTTCACGATAATTATTTTTCAGTCCATTATTTTTCTTTAAAATCTTCGATCTCGATGGTTCGATTTTTCGAAAAAGTATAAGAGACCATTTTTGTATTTTGTAATTAGCTCAATAATCTATTGGGGTAAGATATGGTTATTTATATATGCGACTAAAAACTGTAATAAGGATGATAATTACTCATACGTGGTAAGTACTTTCTAGAGGTAACTAGCAACTAGTTTTTGTGTGTCAGATCCTAAAAAAATAATCGTTTTTTTTTACCCAACCTAGTCCTCGCATAATTCAATTACTTCTAGGTATTCCTGATATTAATTATTGAGCTAGTACCTATATGAAGATTTTTTTTGAATTTTTTTTTAACAAAAAATTGTTATGAAGACGATTATTACTATGTACTGTTTGGGTAAAATTTCAACCACTGTTGATATTTATCAATATGATCAGCAGTAAGAGCCGTTTTGGAATTATTTTCAGTCACGCCTGAACGTCTAATACGACTCGAATGTTCCATTATCCTATTTTTATTTATGTCGATGTTCCAATTGTTTGTCGGAGTTCTATCGATTTATTCGGCAGGAAGTGGTTCGATTAAAACTTTTAGCGCGACATATATAATGTGATTTTAGGTAATTCCTCTGGTTCACGAAAACCTGCATTATTTCCAACTATATTTTCGATTAATTTGCTTATTATTCAGAACTAATATGATGTTCTACGTTGTATATGTTATCTTTTGCCAACTAACCAGAGAATATTAATCTAACATTACTTTAAAACAATATACATATGAACATACCTGCTAGAAGCTTGTAAATACCAATGGCCGACACTCGCCTGGACAAATTTAATTAATTAACTATTTAATTAATTAATATTACGAATGTCTCTATTGCGTTCGACACGCGAATTAGTTGTAAAATGGTTATCTACGCGCGATAGGTGATGTCGTGCAAAATATGCAACGGAATTGGGGTGGCCAAAAAATAAACGAACCATTTACCTCCAGCGGCAATATTGAAGAGGCAATTCGTTCAAGATCACTTGTGATATTGATGAACTTTGTTGCCTGGCAATAACATAAGTTTCCGTTTACAACAAACCGGAAACTGCTGTCTGTAAAATAAGCATTAAAACGAAATAAAATAATTGGTTTCGGGTTTGTTGTTTGAAATTGCGCGCTCAACATTTGGAAAAATGGAATAGGTAGATTAGTAAGTAACTGGAAAAGTTGAATATTATTAAAATGAATGTATGTAGTTAATAAAATTAAGTAAACTTTTAAGAATTATCAGAACTGTTGGGGAATAGTAATATATTTCAGTGTGTCAAGAGCGAGTGTATAGGAATATGATTTTTCATTGATTCGCATCAAAACTAAGGCATATATTTATAATTTGCACAAAACATTGACAACGTAATATCCGTGCTATGTTGTAAACAAACGCGCCTGAACTTAATGAATCCAAGAAATCTAGTATGACCTAACAAACCATAAAATTTAAGTCTATGGTCACAGGAAAGTAGACTGTGCTATTTTTCTGTGTCCAGTTTATTGCTTGTCGACGGATCAAAGTGTTCGCCGCCTGCATTTACATTAATTGGTGATTAAGTTAAATAAATTAAATAATATTTTTAGCATTTGAAGCCCAGTAGGCACGATGCAATTTCTTCATTCACTTTTTCATTTAGATATTGCAACTACCAAATTGTAGGTGAAAAGTGTCCCACAAAGATATTAATTTTGCATAACTCTATAATTATTTGTGAACTAGTGTTTTGTTTCATTTTTGTATTTCATTTAGGATTTAATTTAATTTATAACTAGGTAAACATATATGTTTTTCCTCTTTAATAGATAATTTAATTCTACAGTCCCTCTCATGTACTACAAGTCTACGACAAATGTCACATATACTGAATGATATTTTTATATCCATGTAAGTATATCCATTAAATTTATGTTATGTGTACATTACATAAAACTGTTATGCGAGTTAGAACCATTCCGGTTTCGATAAGAAGGTAAGGTATTTTTGGAACTGTGAAAAATTTGTATTACGGCCATTTCCTGGCACGAGTATTTATTTATAATTTTCAACCATAACGATATTTTCTTTTCTAATGGTAACCTCAAAGATAGGAAACTACATTATCTGCGTTTCCTTTCGCTTCGCTTAATGCTCAAGATTCTTAGGATTTATAGGAAATTTGCATGGTCATCGGTATTATAACAAAAAAAAATCCATCCAGCTTTTGCCATCTTTAGACGCCGAACACGGCAGGACTGATTTGCAGGATTCCTTTTTTTTTCATACCCGCATGTTTTCTGTCGTAAAAGGTGTATTTTGCCTCCCTCTTATTCATCAACTCCTTAATCTCCAGCTAAAGTGAGCGTTTTTTCAATAATCTTGTTTTTATCTGTGGCGCCAGCTCGCTAAACCCTTAATTATTTAACCTAAGCACAAAGAGCACCCACTATGTGACATCTATCGTGAGGCACTAGAGGTAATTACTTGAGACATGCACTCATAGATGGCGCGCAAGCTTTAGTAGCGCCATGTCTTGTAAGACGCTTCGACTAAATAGATCAGGCAGATAGGAATAGATGGACCAAAGAAAATGGTGGTGCCCTCCTTTACTAAATTCTTCTAAATTGTTTTAAGAAATTATAAAAAAACGCATCCTACTTGGCAAGAATTTATTTTGTATAATGAACAGTTATAAAACTATCTTCAAACTTCTTCAAGCTTAGGGGAGAAACAAAGAAACTCCATGTTGATGTCGTGTGTTTTAGCTTTCCAAAAAGTAAACTCTCTTCACCCTTAAACATAAACATAATATGTATATAAAAGGTTTAATAGAAACTAGATATACAAGGTGACCCAGAGAAAACATATTTTTCAGATACAGATAATTTTTTTTAATTACTTCTAAATGAAGCAATTTTTGAATATATCTATTCTTTGTGGTAACACTTTGCCAACTTCTCTTGAATGCCTGTACTCGGTACTCTTGCTGAATAGCAACTTTCAGTTCCTGTACAGTGCGCTTATTGTTTATAATTGAACTGCCGCAAAATGTCATTTGACGTTTCCCCAAGCACCAATAAAAGTGCGCCAATAAAAAATATAAAATACAAAAACTGAAACTTTTAATTTTGAAAAAATTAACTTGAAAATTTTTAAAAAATGTGAAAAACATGTGTTTCCTCTGTGCAACCTTTTACATACAATTTTAACTTTATTTTTTACGGCTCAAACAAGCGTCATAGTTTATTTTAGAAATTGGTGTAAAGGCAGAATTTAAAGGAGTTAACAAGTTAAAGCAAACAAAAAAGCCCTATTTTTGGTTTGTTAGAGACCCTACCAAAACAAATTGAATTCGCCTTTCGGAATACGGTTGGTTCATTTGAATGGTTTAAGGTTTAAATGCACGACAGAGGCAAACCACGGAAAAGGAATCGAAGTATCGTTATAATTAAAGCAGAACGCAGCTAAATATTATATACTAACTAAAACAAAAAACAGAACATATAGACATAACAAAAATTATAATTCAAATGAATCTGAATCGGTAGTTCAAATTATTCGGATTCAGTGACTATTGCCGCTATGATTTATAGAGTTCCCAATGCGTCCGAACTGGTAAGTCCAAAAACGATAATATTGACAGTATGATGCGGTGACAAAATACACGGATCGTTGTGCCATGGTGGTAAGAAAACAAAAAATCGTAAAAACAGTCTTCGTCGACCAACTCCACTCTCATCACATATCTATAAAAAAAACGAGAGTCGTTCACCTAGAGCGGCGGACCCTGCAGGGATAGAAAAAAAATGACTAACCAAAACTAACACTAAACTGCTTACCACACACTACTGGTCCCCACCCCTTCCACACTTTTCACCAAACGACACCATACCATATTTTATTTCCTTGTTCTTTTTTATTGTTAAAAATTAAAAAAGCACAGCATTTTTGTTTTCTGGTTTAAGGATCGAGTTCTGAAAAAAATTGAGACAGCAATGGACGAATGATCCTTGTATAGACGCATTTGATAAAAAGTAGAAAGTATTTGACATGGATATAACCTATCTGGTTTTGGTTGCAGTTTTTAGGTGTTCTTTCAAATTTCGTCAATAGAAAGGGGCTCAGTGATATTTTGCTGTTGTATCTGAAGATGGCTGCACTGTTAATTATTTCCACAATTTTAAGTTTTCTGACAGCCTATTCCGATAATCTAGGTAAATTGGTATGTCGCGTTACTTGTAGTTGTTTTAGTAACTAGTACTATAATTTCCAGATTCTTCACTGGATAAACAAATCGTCGAAACATGAGAAAAACCTATTAAATGAAAAAGTGCAACTAAAAAGGGAACAATGCAACTATAACATGATGGATGATTTTGCAAAATATTCCAAAGTTCAAAGAAAAATAAATAAAATCGAAGAGGAACTTGAACATATTGAAAACAAGAAAATAGGATTTGTTCTGAGCACTTTTTGTATCTACAGTGTCAAATGTTTGTGTACGATGTGTATTCTGGCTCTTACAGTGTATTTTAAAGGAAGTTATGTGTTTAAGCTTGATGATAGCATTGACCTCACCCCATTTAATTATTTAATTTCATATCCTAATGAAAAAAATTTCGTATCGATTCATTTCTGGATTATGTGTTGCAATGTGGTAGCGAGTTTAATAAAACATTCAAGTTATTGTTGAATAGCCCTTTCGTTCGGTTAATTACCGCCCCCCCCCCACCTAAAGAGGATGAGTTGAACATAACCTAATAATTTTCCATCTGAACTTTCACTTTTTCCATCGGGAACAGCGTGGCACGTCGATGAAATTATATACGACATTAAGTCATCTAGTTGACATTAAACTCTTTACGCATAGTACTCTGCGTATAAACTGCTTTTCTGCTGCATATTATTCTCAAAAACCCTTGTGGGGCAAAAACAAACCTCATAGAAAAGTCAAATTAAATTTGTATTTCGACAGTATGGCAGACCCAGCTGCTGAAAAACTTTTAGCTCCATTAAGGGCCAGTGTTAAGGCACAAGTAAGCAAAAAACTGTGCAACACATATTAAACTAATCTTGATTTTTTGCTAGGGTGATTTTGTTCGGAAACTTAAATCAGAAGGGGCACCCGCACTGGACATAAAAGCTGCAGTTGCAGAATTATTGTCGCGAAAAAAGCTTCTTGAGGAGACAGAATTAAAACTCGCACCTAATGCTACATTTGATCGAGCCAGAATGGAAGATTTATTAAAGAGGCGCTTCTTTTATGATCAATCATTTGCCATATATGGGGGCATAACGGGCCAGTTCGATTTCGGGCCGATGGGATGTGCATTCAAAGCCAACTTATTACATGCATGGAGACAGTTTTTTGTTTTGGAAGAACAGATGTTGGAAGTGGACTGTTCAATATTGACCCCAGAACCTGTTTTGAAGTTAAAGGTTACAGATTAGTTATTGTTTTGAGTTTAATTATATTAATTTTAGAGCATCAGGTCATGTTGATAGATTTGCAGATTTGATGGTAAAGGATGTTAAGACTGGTGAATGCTTTCGGTTGGATCATTTGATTAAGGCTCATTTGGAAAAAATTGCTGCTGATAAGAAGACATCTGAGGCAACCAAGGCAGAATGTCAAGATATTTGTATAAAGGTTTTTTTTATAAATGAATTTATTATATTGTAATATATATACTTTTTTAATTTCAGTTGGATGGTATGACAAAAGTAGAAATGGCTCACATTATGAAAAAATTTGACATGAAAAGCCCTCTGAATGGAAATGATTTAACAGAACCAATTGAATTTAATTTAATGTTTGGAACTCAAATTGGACCATCAGGCTTGGTAAAAGGGTAATTAGACACTTGCTGTACTAGGTATTTTCGTTCTATGTATTATTTTCCCTTAGATTTCTACGACCGGAGACTGCTCAAGGAATCTTTGTCAACTTCAAACGGTTGTTAGAATTTAATCAAGGAAAATTACCATTTGCAGCAGCCCAAATAGGGAATGCTTTTCGTAATGAAATATCACCTAGATCGGGACTTATTCGCGTAAGAGAGTTCACAATGGCTGAAATTGAACACTTTTGTGATCCAAATGATAAGGCTCATCCCAAATTTGAAAACGTAAAAAATTCGGAATTGTTATTGTATTCCGCGTGTAGCCAAATGGATGGGAAACCTGCGGAAAAAATAAGCATTGGTAAAGCTGTGTCCACGGTTAGGGTATTAAACTGTAAATTTAGCTTAAATTAAATAAATTAGTTATTTTTCAGGACCTTGTAGCTAATGAGACCCTGGGTTATTTCATGGCAAGAATACAGCAGTTTCTGGTGAGATGTGGAGTTGATCCTGCTCGATTAAGGTTCCGTCAGCATATGTCCAACGAAATGGCTCACTATGCTTGTGATTGTTGGGACGCAGAATGCTTGACTAGTTATGTAAGTCAACAATTGAAGAAATATTCAATGGACTAAACTCCGTTGCATATCCCAGATATTTGTTTTTGAAGGGTTGGGTGGAATGTGTGGGTTGTGCGGATCGATCCGCTTTCGATCTAACTCAGCATACCCAGGCGACTGGCGTTAGATTGGCTGCTGAAAAGAAGCTCTCAGAACCCATAGTGAAAGATGTGGTTGAGGCAGTGCCCAACAGAGCAGTGATGGGAAAGATTTTTAAACGGGATATGAAAATTATTACTGAGGCATTGCAAATGTTGAATATCAATGAAATTGAAACTTTGGAGAATGATCTGCAATCGAAGGGGTAAGGCCACTGCTTTTTATTGTGAATCGTCAGAAGAAGAATTAATAAGATACTTTAGTCACATGCTTTATTTTTGTTCTCTTCAATCAAATGTCAAATAATCAAATGGTTGAAGAAAATCTACAAGTGATCTGGGTGATAGCCGATTATAACAATAGTTGTGTCACTTGGAAGGCACCTCCATTTTGAAACTATGACATTCTAAAATTACGTCAAAATTGACATCATTAGTGAGAGTGCCTTATAAATATTGTTTGAAAACTTAAATTATTTCTTTCTTATTATTATTTTATTTAATTACAAGTTTTTACTAACAAGATATATGATTTTTAAATATCCAAATGAACAGAAAACTAATTACATTGTAGGTTACTTGACTAAGCAAGACTTCCTGTTTCAGAGAATATCCTCTTAGAATAGGTGACCAACAGTTTCTCTTAACAAGGGATCATGTTGCGGTGAAAAGATATAAAGCAACTGAATTTGTAGAAGAAATCATTCCGAGCGTAATTGAACCATCTTTTGGTTAGTTTCACCTAGTTGAATAATTAAACCAATTATCCAATTCTGATTTATAGGTATCGGTCGTATAATGTACTCAATTTTTGAGCACAACTTCAAACAAAGAGAGAATGATGAGCAAAGGACTTACCTTTCGTTACCTGCCATCATCGCGCCATTAAAATGTAGTGTTTTACCGTTGAGTTCTAACCCCGAGTTTGTACCTTTCATTAAGTCCTTGTGTAAGAGTTTAATTAAAAAAAAAAGCTCAATGAGTAAAATTCGCATTGTAGCTGCAGAATTGACCAAAGTAGATGTGTCCCATAAAGTGGACGATAGTTCCGGATCCATAGGTCGAAGATACGCGAGAACTGATGAAATTGCGATCCCATATGGCATTACCATCGATTTTGATACTTTGAAGGAGCCCCACAGTGTTACCCTAAGAGAAAGAGATTCCATGGTGCAAGTTAGACTGCCTGTAGGTAATCATTGTTTTGTGGTGCTCTCTCTACGGTTAGATTTCTTTTTGTAGCTGCAAGACGTCGCCAAGGTGGTGCATAATTTGTCCTACAATAAGGAAGTCTGGAGTGATATTGAAAGTAGATATCCAAAATTTGAACAGCAAGAAAACACGGCATGAGTTTAAGTTTGCCTTTATTTTAAGATCAGACTTTTTAGGCCGGCATTTTACTTTTATAGTTACTAAATTAAATTATTTACACAAATATGAATGGAATTTGTTTAATACAATGTATTTTAATTTTCCTGCTATAGGTGGTATCGCATTGTATTAGCATATTTTACATGTGACCCTTGACCACACTTTTCCTGTGAGCGAGGCATATTCAAATTGGGTTAGATTCCTGGTTTTTTAAATTTTGTATCTAGAAGGCCGCGATTGGCACAGAAATGATGTGTCGAAAAAAAAAAGTTTCTATCCATTCTCGGTTCTCGCCTTTTGGTTTTCCCGGAATAGCTTTGTAAACCTTTGCGATTTACCTCCTTTTTTTCGCAATTTTCTATTGTTTTTTGGACATTGCTATGAAACACGTGTCCGAAATTTGAAGCAATCGACTTCATATTCACCACATATATACGCAGCTTAGCCCCGTGACTAGGGATATTCCGATACTAGTAAATACGAGTAGATACTCGATACCAAGTATTTATAGCATCGAATCAATCTTGCGATATTTACTCAGTATCGAAACAAAAGTACTTGGTATCAAATCGAATCAGCCTCACCATTATAAAAAAAAACCGATCGCATCAGACAAACATAATCTCTATCTGATCTGTGGTGACGCGTTGTCTCGCGCCAGCCAAGTCGAACTCGTCCGACTTCACTCGACCGAGCCCGAGTCAAACGCGAGAAAGACGTCCGCCCTTCATTTTTTTTCATTGTCAACCAACATAAATTTTCAAACATACAAGAGATTGCTTACGAATAATTTTATTTATTGTAATCATCGGCTTATTACGCCAATGTTATCGTGGAGTTTTTTGTTTTAAAGTACGTGTTTACCGGGACGCAAACGTTTATAATAAAAGTTTTCTTTTCCTTCTTAATTTTGTTTTAATTATTGTATTTCAACGTTCGTTGTTAGTTTCCTTAAAATAAATAAAAAAATAATAAAGTGATAAATGTATCGATATGAGTAAGTACCGATACTTTGGGAGTATTTATTTGAGTAGGTATCGATACTTTAATGCTATCGGAACATCCCTACCCGTGACAGAACCTATTGAAAATGACGAGGACTGGGGGTCGGCAAAAATGTATAAAAATTGCGTTCGCAAGGGTGTACAAAAAAGATCATTTTTGGAAAAACCGTTTACGAAACTGAAAAAATTCTTGAACAAAAGACGCAGAAGATTTGGCCCGTTTTGCGCTGTAAATAAAAAAAAATGAAAATTGGGTTCCCCTTTTATTAAAAAAAAAATACTATAACTGCAAGACGATGTTTCAGATGTCAGTTTCTTTTACATTACGATATAGTCCGTATAGACACCTAAAACTTTTGTATTTAAGGATTTCATTTATTATAAGGCGTGTTCCCGAGATTCCGTGCTAGATAAGAAATGTGTTAAGTGTCCTAAATGTGCATCTTCAAATTTAGCAGAGAACTTAAAAAGTAGAAATGGAGTGGTTATTTTGGAACGCGGGAGATCCGAGGCTATAACTTTTGTATTATGCATTTTTTTCAATTATATACAGACTGTTGACAAAAATCTAAAATATCTTGAAAATTGTTCTTTGCAGGAGTAAATTATTGATCGTTAATCAAAAATCGTAAAAAATATGGCTAATCGATTCAGACAGTGTGATATGCCCCATGAAGAGCAACAATTTTTATATTTACGGTTTTCGTCTTTCGTGTTCATAGTCGTACTGCTCGATATATCTGAAAAAATCCATAAGAAAATCGCTATTCCTTGGGCTCAGTCTAGACGCGATGACGTCATTGACTATTACAGCTTACTGATTTGCATTTTTTGTGGGTAAAGTATTATCCATAAATGAAAAACTACAAACAATGGGATAATTTGGTTTAAGCATTATTGTAAATTGTGTCGAGTGAGAGTTTCAGGCATTGTTTATCATACGAGGTTCGCGAGATACTTGGAAAAATATTGTTATATATCAATCATTATTGCTTGTACAATTTTTTTATATTTATCAAAGTTCGGCGATAGGTCAAAGACGCTTTATACGATTTTGCGCAAGTTCCACGGTGGTCTGCTACACGCTACGAACTTTCTCCGCCCAGCAATTTTTTGAAAGAAATTTAATTAATTAAAAAATATGACACTAAATGTATTTAAGAGTCCAATTTAACGCGCCATTTTAACGGGTATTTACAAAATCTGTTACCAATAAATCATTCTTTACAAAACGAGCACATAACTTCATCTAGAATAGAAGTTTGCAGCAAATATCAATGTCATGTCACATTTAATACTTAGAAACTTGACAATAAAATGAAAAATTTCTTTTAAATTTCTTCATCTGATTTTTAAAAGTTAACATGGAATGAATTCAACAAAACTATGTTTAAATTCACACCCCCAAAAATGTCATTTACAAAAGCTACAATGTCATTTTATTATTTTTATTTAAATAACTTAACATAAGTGGAGAAAAAGTATACAAAATCGTACATTATCTTGTTCTATAACAACTATTCTAAGTCGGGAATTGGTTCATCATCCGAATCTCCACCCTCATCGCCATCCAAGTCATCAAAATTTGGCTTCCCGCCGCCTCCATCAAGTCCACCCATCTGTCTCATCATCTCTTCAAAATCGCCACCACCTCCCATACCACCGAGGCCTTCATCTCCCGAATCATCTTCGTCATGCCACTTGTTAAAGTCACATTTCAACCAATGGTACTTCTTTTTGTCTTGTGTGAGGGCGGGCCAGTATGGTTTTTTATTACCGGCTTTGGTCAAAATCATTTCAATGCACCGCTCACGATTGAAACTTTTACTTTTATCAGGATCTATTTCATTGTAGAGGTTGATAGTCACTTCATATTCTTTCTTTTCAAGACCGCCCGTACCATGGAAATAAACTGTGTCTTTCGTAAATCTGAAAACACGAATCTTAAGTGCTTTATAGGTATTTCAAGTTATATTAATATTGAGTTCTGGAAGAGCCAATATTGTATATTTATAATTATTCAGTTTATTATAGTATGAGGATTAAATAGAAACTTACTTAATATCCGGGTCTCTGACGTCCTCCAAATTTATTGTTAAGAATATTACGTTTGCGTTTTGAGCCCACATTACCGGGGGCGGTAATCTATAAGCAAAAAGTTAGGTTAGATTAAACATTTTTTTTTAGATTTAAACCAATACGTCTTCATTATCGGTTATACAGATTTTCTAAAAACGCGCTTCAAAAGGTTCAACTAAAAGCTTGTAAAGATTTACAAAAATTGGAAACTTCTAGAATCGATTGTTAGGGAATCAACATGGCCGAAGAAACATGGAATTTTAAGGAAACCGAAACTACACGAGGAAGTGTGTTGTTTGGCGCAAGAAAACGAGGACATATTATAATACAATCCTTATATCGTTAAATAGAACGTAATACTTACTTTTGATCAGTCATTGCGTCAATTTTTTTTATAAATTGGCGTTTAGCACACACTACCTACTTCTCGCACGTCTTTCGAGTTGCCGGAAAATACGCTGTTGCCTTTTATTGCCTGTTTATTTCTTTACATTCTAATTGTAATTGGCCAACACCGGTGGGACCATTCGGCCAGTTTTGAACATTTTTTATTTTTCTTCTTTTGTTTAAAAAAGATTAAAGATATTAAAAAAAATTATTACCTAACAAAATCGTCTCCGCCCGTTTCCAATAGACTAGCATTTGTTCGAGGCTGACCCCTTACAATAAACACTTGTTTTTGATGGTGCTCGTTTGCTCAAATAACATGAAACGAAATCATCAAATAGGTCGATATAGTATGGAATGCCTTTTTCGGTATAATTTGATAAAAGCGATTGTTTACCAAAAAGTTCGCAAATGAAAGTAATAGGTGCATCAACGGCAACGTCGCCTGCGTCGATCAAGACAGGAACATGGCTGCGTTTGAATTGCGGCGGGAAAAAGTATGTACTGGGTAATACTACAGAATGCTTAAATAGCTTACCAGTTTCTACACGACACTTTTGTCACGAATCGGGTGTCGGAAGTATAAAAAACGTGTTTCATAGTATGTGTATATTTTCAATAGCGTTTTTTAGATAATTTTTTTTGTTAGTGAGTGAGTTTATATTATATACAGAGTTTTAGAGGAATTGCTTGTAATGGGCAGATATAGGAAAACTGATGTCACAGTGCAATTCAGCTTTTCATTGTTCTGATCATCACTGCGTTCTATTTTGTCTAATCAAAGTGTACCCCATCCTATCACGTAGCAGAGACCACGTGGGTCTCCCCGAACATGCCAATTAGAAAGTTTCGAGTCTTGTCGGCTGCAACAGGTACCTCACACAGAGCGATTTAATAGCGCAAAATACAAGGAATCGCACGAGTACATTTTCCTGTTGTTAATTTAACAACCGTCCGTTATTGTTGTTTTGCCGTTACAGACGCGAGTATCCGCGCTATACGTTCGAAGGTTTGATGAGAATTACTAACGTCCTCTAGGACGATAAGATGCTAATTTGTTTAAAAACGTTTTAAATAATCGACGGAACATTGCCAAGGAACGATTATTTTGCCGGCTTCCCCAACATCGGAAAGTGAAGTGCCTATACATTTCGGATTGATAAAATTGTCCAGAACTTTACTATTGAGTTTACGGCACGACTACTTGCGATGGTGAAGTTTTTAGTGTGAGAAAGATGTCTATTTTCAAGGATAATAACTGGGTAAGAATTTGTATTGCACGCATCATATCTGACACCTGTTTTAATGGTAGCGGCGGTGATTTTACACAATAGAAAAATGAACAGGACTAATTTTTATTGTTATTCGCTACCGAATCGTTATTTTTTGTGTTTGCTTATACCATATTAAAAAAAGTGGGCGAATTTCAAACTAATTTTATGAAAAAGTGCAGAACAATTTTGCAAAAAAATTAATTGTTTCTTTTTTTGAAAATCAAGTCGGAATTTGCAATTATTTTCAGGATAATGTATGATTGAAATAAACTATGAGATCGAGTATATTTTTGCTGCATGGATAGTTTGCCGATGTACGAAAAATGCCATTTTAGTCACGAGTTTGTTTTGGTACAAGCGCGTACCCTTTCTTTTACCGAGATTTGTTTTTCATAGAGATGTTTTTGACTTTTTGCGCAATAAACAACTAACGTTATTATTTGATTGTGATGTTGCATTTACTCCAGACATTAGCCGAACGCTTTTTGGAAACACCCAGTATATTTCGGCGACGCTAAAAGATACGGTTAATTTTAAGCAAAACTCATTATATTGGGAATTGAGAATACGTAATTACGGTATTGTATATATCGTTTTAAAACATTAGGTCGAAAGATTTTAAAGTAGAGACTGGTAAGCCACTGCTTGTACTGTTTCAAATGTTTTATCTGAAAACAAAACTTCTTTTAGTAATTTTTTTACATGGCCACCAGTTGATGAGATACCAAAATAATAATTTCGGCATGATCGATAGTCGCATAAATGTTTAAATCAAAATGAGGTCGCCATTATAAAGGTACTGAGAAAAAAATTATAAATGCTTTCCGGGTAAACGCAATTTTGCTATTATCAAAAGCTCTGTTTTGCGTCGAAGAATAATAAATTCTTCGTCGTTTCGAAAATGCATGCGAATTTCGTTTTGAAAATTATTCGAAATACATTTTCGATTGTTTTAAGTTTTGAACCCAGAAGAAATAAAAAAAATCGATGACAAAGTTAATGTATGCAAAACGCATCGAGAAATATAGATAGAGGTGAATTTGCTGTGCTATTCAGTTTAGTAACTAAAAAAAAGTACTTTTTAAATTTTAATATCATAAATATGTTTAGGACTGTACAGGACAGTATTGGAAATTATTTTAAAAATTTTAAACGTTTCACCTGTTGAAAATAAAAGCCAAATGAAATAACTTATGAATTGCTGATTTATATGTTAGCAAGTAGAACCATCCTTATTAGTCTGGAGAAAGCCATAAAATTGCCTAAACGTCGACTACATACAAAATAGTTTTTTTTTAACCTATCAATGCCTTGATATCGAAAGAATTGATGTTTGTATCTAAGTTATAAGTTTAATAAATAAACATTTTAATGAATGGTTTGGTTGAATAACCCTGTATAGGTACATACTCATTTTAATAAATAATGTTTTCGACGCTCTGCTGCACGGTCGAAGCAAATTGTACTGTTTTTGCACATTTGAAGTGAATAATAATCTCAGTCTACATTGTAGTTGTCGTAAGTACCAAAACTGGTACTCGTTTTCAAGGTCCGAGTTAAGCAGGTTGCTGCCTACAGAAATGTATTTGTTGTCAAATATTAAAAGTGGTCGCCGCGAGGCTTCCCGATATATATATATATATATATATATATATATATATATATATATATATATATATATATATATATATATATATATATATATATATATATATATATATATATATATATATATATATATATATATATATAAATTATTGAAATAAATGCGAAAAAGCAACAACATAAAAAAACATATTTTTTATTTTATTTAGAAACTTTTTTCTCCTGTAATTTTTTTAATAATACTTACTGTTTCCAAATGAAAAATAAAATCTAAAGCAGTGCATAACGCGATAGATAAAAAAAATCTAGTGAGCTGCTGTCACTTCTTCCTTTATTTGACGTTATTAGTTATTTTGATCACAAAATAAACATAATTTAATCAAAACTTTATTATCTATATCATTAATTTGTTCAATAATAAGCGTTTTAATTCAATAATGATGCAGAAATGGCAGATAAGCATTTTATATACGGACGAGTGAATACGCCAATTAGTTTCAGAAATGTTTATTAAAATATTATTTAAAAGACAAATGATAAATGTTAGTATAAAATATAACAGTTTGATAACACCCAGCCAAATTATTTTTCTAAAATAATTTTTTCCTCGACAAACAATGCTTTACATTTATTTTTTTATGCCGAAACCGTAAGTTTTATCAAAAAAAATGAAGGAGACAAGAAAGTTTTTAATATATTTTTTCCATGGCATTGCATAAGTTTGTTCTAAATTTAATCAATAAAAATCGCAACGGCAGTCTAAGTCAATTCTCTTCACTAATTCTAAGATAAATAAAAAACATGCAGAAGGTGTTTCGTTTTTAACATAAATTAACTAAATTAGAGCGGTTGACTTTTCACCTATCCCTTATGCAACAAAGTATACTTTATTTCAATCAACGAATCACGTCCTTAAGTTTTTCGAATTTATTTTGAGACACCCTGTATATACGACCTAGTTTCGTCATAACTTATTGAAAAATAATCCAAATATTTAGTATTTTTATCGTGTCCTGTAGAAAAATTGGCCATTAACCGTACGCACAATGGCGACAGTGTTGCCACAGAACCGTTATCAATTATCACATCCGCGTTTTGTAGGACAGCTTACGGAAGTTGATGTTGGCAACGTGTACAATGTTATGGCAATCAGGCAGGGTTTGTTTTACATATACAACAATAAGCATCGCAAAATATTTGCTCATTATAGTATGTACCTTCTTTGCATTGCTCCTTTGTTTAACTACTTAAGGAAGTGTCATCAAGCCCATTTTTTTGTAAATTTACCAAATTCTTCTTCCATCCATAATTTCGTAATATGGGTCAAGTTCTAAGATAACTTATACTTGAGAAAAACGTGAGCAAGTTTTATAACAATTACATATTAGAGAGTTTGCGAATCTGAGTTTTATTTGAAACTTTTTTTGATGAATATACATGGTGAGCAGTGAGCACAGTGAGCAGACTTGACACTGCAACACTAACGGTTTGAAGCATTAATAAGGACTTGAGGGGATTATTACTTACTCATTTGCAAATAAACACTTCACAACAGGACGTCATGGCATGTAGAATCGTGTCTATGTAAAAGTAATTTTATTTTACCCCTAGCGGAACGGGTTCTATTTTATGTTTGGTCTTTAAATAAATAATGAATAACAAACAGTTCGAGATTCGTTGCCATCACGGATGACTGATTCCGATTTTTTATCCGTAACTGGAGAAAGCCAGACTTGCATCATAAGTAGATATCTGATTAAATTTAGACGTTTTCCTAACACAAATGGATTCAATGTTAGTATTAACACATCGTATATGATGGCAACTCAAAATCAAATTTAATAAATACCTAAGCGTTCAAACTCTGGTTTTTTCGTGAAAGTCGGTCACTTTCAGTTTTATTAATTTAGCCCGATTAGTTTTAATGACGTAGAACTACGGCAAAACCCGCAAGTCCTCAAACGTTTGCCCTCTCTCTGTTTCCGATTGGTTATATCTAGACCGATGATCTCGATCAATATGTAAATAATATCGGTCCAAATTTAAGGTCATTTTGTTTTAGCAGTTGTTTATCGTTAATTGCAAGTTTTAATATCAAATTATGGTAAGTGGAAGCGAGTATATCCGCTTCAGGATTTCCTATACAAAATGGAGTATGTTTAGCACGCGATCGATTTTAGGCGAGTAGAAATTTAATCGTTAAACATGC